TCTAAACTTTTAATTTTTAAAAACCATACCTAAAGTTTAGTTTTTGTTTCATTTTAGTACCCTCGTTCAAAATTTTAACGTTAAGTTTTGAAAAAATTGAAAGTTTAGGTACTAAAACGAACCAAAACGGATAGTTTTGGTTCTAAACGCGTTATGTTTCTAACGATGGGGGTACTAAAATGAAACAAAATCTAAACATTAGGTATGGTTTTGAAAAGAAACTAAAAATTTAGGTACTAAAACGGACTAAAACTGATAGTTTAGATATTAAATGCGTAGTTTATCCAAATTTTAAGGTTATTAGAATAAGGGTAAAGTAAAAAAATGACCACCCGACTATAGGTGTTGTTTCTTTGAGTCATCTGAATATTTTTTTGTTAAGTTAAGGTGGATTATAAAGTAATATATCATCTAATTAATACTCTTAACAATTTGACAATGAATGCTCAATCACCCATACTATAGTTGTTGGTGCTCAAACCCGAGACATCTAGGAATAACAACTATTTCTTTAACTACTAAGATATTTTGGTTCGTGCCATCTTACTATTAAAAGTTACAAAATGATTCCCGACTATAGGGTGATGCTTTGTTGAGTCCCATAACTATTAAAATTTATAAAAATGGTCATCTAACTATTTATATGTTCGAAACTCGTTTTTTCCGTAAAAAAAATGAATATTGTCTGAGCCAGACTGTTGAACTATGTTTTGATATAACAATTTAAGGCAAAATGGTTTTTGGACTTGAATTGAATTTACAAAATGTATTTGGACTTAATTGAATTTATTCAAAATTTACAAAAATAATTCAAAGTTCTTTTAATTTAAAATTGAGCACAAAAATGTTTTTTATGAATAGTAATTTACTATTTGAACAATAAATTACTATTTGAACAGTAAAATCACTGTTTGAACAGTACCCCGAGGCTTAAAAATTCCAGTATGTAAAAGGGGAATCGATTCCCCCCAAGGGGGCACCGATTCCCTCACTGTTTATCAGCCCAACGGTCATAATATTTGAATATTATGAAGGGGTATCGATTCCCTATGAAGGGGTACCGATTCCCCCCATTCTGGGCAGCCTATTTTTGCAGAAAAATCATTCCCAAACGGCTCCAAAACATCCCCAACGGCTAGATATGACTTCAAACACATTCCAAGCTATATAAATACAAGCTAAGGACACTTGAAGAAGTAAGAGAACAACTATCCAAGTAATCAAACACAAGAGAAGAGTTTTTCATTCTTATTTCATCTTTCTCTTGTAAATATTTTGTTCTTGTGAGCTCAATCTTGTAAACACCTACCTTAGAGAGGTTTTCTTGTTTACAATTCTTATCCTTTTGTAAAGGGGAAAGGTTCTAGCTAATCCCGTGTAAAAGCTAGGGAAAGGTTCTAGTTTAGCCCGGAAAAACTAGGGAGTTTGTAAGGTTACTCTTTATCCTCAAAAGAAAGAACAAATTAGTGAATTTGTTGGAAAATCCTTGGTGAGGAGCTAAGGTAGTGGACGTAAACTTTGATTGAGAAAGTCGAACCACTATAAATCGCTCTGCAATTCTCTATCTTTCAATCTCCTTACTCCCTAAACACAAAACCATTCCGACCCCTCTTTGCAAATCATTCCGGTTGTCGTTTCGAGCTTCCGAAAATCCCAACACAGACATTAACTTTTCTGATTGAGATGTGAAAATTTTTTATCCTAAAATATCAAACAACTGTCATATTACATTCAACATGTTAACGTCCAACTCAGACGACTGTCAAATTTTAACAGAAAATGACGAGTTTGGAATATATTAATAGTCAAGTGACTATTTTGTACTTTTAATAGTCGACGGACTTAACAAAATAACATCCTATAGTCGAGATATCATTTTTGTAACTTTTAAAATATTTTTCATAAATTTAGTACCCTCGTTCAAAATTTTAACGTTAAATTTTGAAAAAATTAAAAGTTTAGGTACTAAAACGGACCAAAACTGATAGTTTAAATACTAAACACATTAAGTTTTAACGAAGGGGTACTAAAATGAAATAAAAACTAAATGTTAGGTGTGGTTTTGAAAAAATTGAAAGTTTAGATACTAAAATAGACTAAAACTGATAGTTTATATATTAAATGCATAGTTTACCCAAATTTTAAGAATGTTAAAATAAAAGTAAAATACACAAATGAATGAGCACCCGACTATATGGTGTTGTTGTTTCTTTGAGTCATCTTACTATTATTTTTTTTATCAAGTTAAGGTGGATTATAAAGTAATATTTGTTCTAAATATTCTCAACCATTTGAAAATGAACATTCAATCACTCATGCTAAAGTCCTGATGCTCAAACCCGAGACATCTAGGAATAACAACTATTTCTTTAACCACTAAGATATTTTGATTCGTGTCATCTGACTATTAAAAGTTACAAAATGGTTTTCGACTATAGGATGTTGCTTTGCTGAGTCCCCTAATTATTAAAAGTTACAAAAATGGTTATTCAACTATTCATATATTCCAAACTCATCTTCTTTTGTCAAAAAATTGATGATTGTTTGTGCCAAACGTTAACCTTCTAAATGGGATGTGATAAAATTTTATCCAAAAACATCCAACGACTATCATATTTCAGTCAAAATGTTAACGTACAACTCAGACAACTGTCAAATTTTAACAGAAAATGACGAGTTTGGAATATATGAATAGTTGGGTGACTATTTTATACTTTTAGTAGTCGATAGACTCAACAAATCAACATCCGTCGAGATAACATTTTATAACTTTTAATAATCAATAACACCACAAATCTTATAATCTAGGATTATTTATATGCTTTATCTTAAAATAAATATTGATTAATTTTTAATGCATCGATACAAATATTAGTTTAACTTTTTATCATGGTTTTCAGAACCGGACCGGTTAGCGAACCGGCCATGCTATCGGTTCACTGGTTTAACCGGTCTAACCGGTCGGAAGAACCAGACGACGTCATAATTATTTAAAAAATTAAATAAAAATACCAAAAATATTTAATTAAAAATAATTTTTTATATCACAAGTCATATTCAAAGCAAGTCATAACATATATAAATTAAAAACCATAAAATCAAGTGAAACAAAATGATTCAAATTAACTACAACATAATATTTAAGGTAAAACATATTAAATAATAAATATAATTATATAACTATAATTAAAAAATAAATTTGGGGCTAAAAAATCATAACAAAATGATATTGTTTGGTTTAATTTTTTTTAAAAACAATCCCACATGGCTAAGAAACATAGAAGAGCATCTCAAAAGTCTAAAGAGTACAAATATGAGAACAAAACAATCTCACATTGCTAAGAAACATAGAAGAGCATCACAACTAACTTCTATAAATAATAAAGGTAATTTGGAATTCAAAATTATGGAGCATTTTGGTGAGCATTGAGTGAACTATTCTTTAACTTCAATCAAGCTCGAATTTTAGGCTTCAATTGAGCTTATAAATTTTTTTTAGTTCAAGCCTTTTTGAGTTCAAGTTTCAATATTATATTTCGAGTTCAAGTTGAACTTGATAATTTTTAACTTGTGAGTTTGAGTGGAGTTGAGCTTACTTTTAAAGTTTTCAAGTTCGAGTTGAGCTCAGCAATACTCGAGTTCGACTTGGCTCGTTTAACAAACGACGTTTGGTTTAATTTTTTTAAAAAAAAACAAAATTTCTGGTTTTCAACCGGTCCGGTTTGAACTGTTTAACGGTTCTGGCCGGTTCACTAGTAGCGGTTCAACTGGTTTAGATTAAACCAGACTAAACAACGGTTCCCGGTTGAACCGGCTGGTCCGGTCCGATTTTCAAAACAATGCTTTTTATCTCTCTCTCTATTTTTAATTTATGAAAGGGGAAGGTTTCGTTCTGCGATGACCTTAAAATAATATGATTTCATTTTTCTTTTTGGCCCACGTACAAAAGGAAAAAAGTAAACAATTTAAATTTGTACAATGGTTACTTTTTAGGGGTTTGCATCTTAAACTACGCTCCTCACACTTTCAACACATCATAAATATATTTATATTTAAGGTAAATTATGTATTTAATACCTAATCTATTAGTTTTAGTCCATTTTAGTACTTAAACTTTCAATTTTTATTTAAAACCATACCTAAAGTTTGATTTTTGTTTCATTTTAATACCCCATTCAAAATTTAACGTTAAGTTTTGAAAAAATTAAAAGTTTAGGTCCTAAATACGTTAAGTTTTTAACGGAGGCTACTAAAATGAAACAAAAAATAAATGTTAGGTATGATATTGAAAAAAATAAAAATTTATGTACTAAAACATACCAAAACTGATAGTTTAGATACTAAATGCGTAGTTTACCCTTTATTTAACTATATTTTTTAAATAATCAAATGATTATAAGATAATATATATTTATAATATATTTTTTAACTATTAATGATGCACACACGTCATTCAGATACAATTGTTAAGAATTTTAGAAAAATAACATTCTTTTAACTACTGAGATCACTTGATGAATTCGATTTAAGTATCCTTTTAATATCAAATGAATATTTTAATATAATATAATAAGATATAACACTCACAGTATAATAATATTGTATATCACACTCACAATATAAATATAAATATAAATATAAATATTATTTTTAATAGTAAAATTGAACATTCAAGTTAGGTTGGACCCAACTTTAGCCGGATATGGATCTTCACAGTAATCATAGCCGTAGCCCAAACCATTACACCGTTACATCATTCTATGGTCATGGCACTACAACTTACTGAAATGAGGAAGAGTAAAAAAATTTATTAATCAAAAGGTTAGCATTCAAAATAAAATATATATATATATATTATGAATTTGAACTATTGGGTCCATAAAAGTTTCATCCTTGATAACATACAAAATCTGAGTGAGCGTAATATTTAGGAAAAGGATTCTCCAGGTCAACCAGAAAAATATATTTTTGTGTCAAAATCTCCAATCCTCAAAAGCTAATCTTACCAATGACAGTGCAGGAGATCAAACATGTACATCAAGTTATTGCAGTGCAGGAGATAACCATATGATGTGCTGAAAGAATCGGTGAACAGCCTTAATATACAATACACTAATACCATATATTTGGGAAGAAGAAAAATGAGATAATTTCTACGCACTCCAACTCGATGGAAGTCTCCACTTCCGATGCCAATAAATGGACACCCTCGGCCACAGTGGAAATCCGAAATTGAACTCAAAAGGTCGATCGGCCGGGCCACCAACTATTAAGGGTAACCATACATATCTCGAGTCACCTAAGTCGGCTGGATTCCACCGGTCTGCCATGAAAATATATGAACCTGGAATCCCAGGCAAAGGGATCACAAATGTACTCTGAGCGAAAAATGTTGCCAGTCGAAACATTTTGTTCCCTCCAATGCATGGGTTTCCCATTGTCTCCCATGGTCCCATGATCGAGTCAGCTGCATGAGCAAGTGCTTCATTAGGTGCCCATCCAGTGCAACCTGAGGTGATCATGTAATAAGTCCCCCTGTACTTAAACAGAGCGGGGGCTTCCCGGTGCTGTCCAACCAGAATCCTTCGTATTTCAGTCTTCACATCTAGATAATCTTTGGCTAGTGGCCCAATGTGAAGCTCACTGTTGTCTTCGGACGAATAAACCAGATAAGCTACTCCATCATCATCTTTGAAGATGGTCATGTCCCTGCTCTCGTATCCATGGGGCCTTTGGCTACCGAGATAATCAAAAGGACCTGTCGGGTAATTGCTAACAGCAACACCAACAGCAGCTTTAGTATAGTTGACATCGTCAATATGCATCCACATTACATACTTTCCCGTGTAGTCATTGTAAATAACTTTTGGCCGCTCCAATACATTGGATTTGTGTAGATCATGGGTTTCGTTCGTCTCTTCAGCAGTCAACACAATGCCCTCATTTTTCCATGTCCACAAATCCTTGGAAGAATAGCAACCAACTCCTATGATGTCAACCTGATTACAAGGTAACCCAAAAAGTTCAATAAAAACTTAAAAAAATGAGATATGCAAAATATAGGTGCCGGAAGTCATCTGCTGTGCATTCAAATAGAAGAAGTTCGGAGTGGGAAAAGATTTTACGGGGTAGCTAGGCAAAATCTGATATGTAATATAATCTCTCTGATGTCAATCACAAATACTAATCTTAAACGAGCTTTACAATTTTATGTATTTTTGTAAAAAAATCATCAAAGCTATTGCATTTGTACTTTTAAGTGGCAACAGAAGTTAAACAAGTGTACAGCCATGAGAAGGAGCTTCATTGCTTCAAGGTAAATAGGAAGGATAGAAGAACATGCTATCAAGTATTTCATTAGGATAAAAGCATTAATATTCCACATGATTACACCTTTGTAACTATCTTTTATCATACACTCAAACCTTCAGAAGTCAGAAATTAAATGATGGGGGTGTTCTACTATCTCAAGCATCATGCAACTCACAAAGAGTGTGATAGAGACAACAACTTCCATTAGCTCACAACTTACAAAGATACTTAACTTTCCACAAACCAAACTAACCAGGGCAGCCTAAACTCCAAACTAAGTTGAACTAATACTTGTGCAATGATCTTCTATTCCACAGGCATCTTCTATTAGGCTCTGAATTGAGCTTCTCCATTTCTAAACAAGTAAATCTTTGAAGTGAAAATAAGATTCTCTACATCCAAATAGTTGTTGCATTCCATAACCAACAAAGTGAGGATAACACAAGGATTAGAACATGAAGATTCAAATGAAGGATTTGGCAAAGTACACACAAAATGTCTCATTAGAGAACATCATATTTTGCATTTAGTTTCTTTCATTTTATACTGAAAATGAGGGATTCCTATTGTAAGATACCTGTAAGTATGAAAAATATCCCAAATACAATAATAGTAAGGTATATCATTCATAGAAATCAGAGCTCAAACTTTACTACTGGTATTGGGTAAGTTCCTCATTTAGGAGTTTAGAACTTCTTAGACAGACTTTATATAAATCACTACCAGGCCAAGACACACTTCACACGTTAGAAGGACCGTATTAGTGAATTTGTAAATTTTACCAATGAGGCATGGATGCCTAGGATCCTCATTTCACGGTTTTATCTCCATATCCTTATTCATTCTTCTTTCTATGCGTGTGATCCTCAACCCTTGTTTCAGAGTTCTCTGACTACATCTGTCTCATCTTTCTCTAACCCTTAAAACCCTTAGTCCTCAAATACTAATACCCTTAAATCTCAAAACCTTTTCCTCACAAAACAAATCATACATCTAGTTTCTCTATGTTCTGCAGACTTACTCCAGTGACAGAATGTAAGCAACATATTTCCTCAGTGACAGAAAATCCAGAAACCATAAACCTACAGCTTTTCCACTTCTCACATCCTAAACCAAAAAGTCCTTTTCTCCAGACAAAATATACATTAAAACCCCTAATTTATTAAAACTTGAACTCAAAAGCCACAAGTCACATTTCTCGAATCTGTCCAAAGTCATAAAAATAACAAACCAGCGTTAGCTCCTCAGTTGTAATGTACCAAGTTAAGCAAAGAATAGTACTGTGGTAGTTTGAGCAATAACCTTAGCCCAGGAAGAATTTGGGTTGTTCAAGCAAGGATATTGGCTACTCAGTCAATGAAGGATAAGGACTAATGCCATATTCGCAAAGTTGTAGTTCTAAATTAGATTATGAATTTAAATTAATAAACTTACTCGTGCTGCACCCTTTTTATGAGCATGGTATGTTAGTCCATCTTTGTACTCTCCATACCAATAGTATGTACTGGATCTTTCATCGTATAACATGCCACCTCCATGAGCTTGAATAGGATTTCCATCGGTATCCAACCAAATTCTCCCTGGATAATAGTAGTTGCTATTGTTTCCTGCATCCTTTATCGGATTAATAGCAGTTTTCAAATCTGGAAAGAATACATGCCGAATCTGTGAATTCTCGTCAAGAAATTCATCAACCAGAGTGGTTGTTCGCTTGGGTCTCCGTTTAGCATGTGGAGATCGTTTTCCCCTATGAGGGGGAATTTGAATATTCTCCTCCTCCACCTGTTCAAGTTCCCAGACTAGTGGATGACGACTCATTCGTAATCTTATATCTCCACTGACTTCATTTCTGCGGCTAACAAGAGAACAGAGTTGAAGCATAAGAAGAATCCCAACCAAGCTCCAAACAACAGCACAAATTGAACATCTGCTCCCTACATTACAATGGATAACTGTTGGTTTCCTGTATTTGTTCCGCACCTGCATATTCTCTTCCTTCTCTATGTCCAAGATAATTCTGCAATAAAGAAAATGAAACCAGTAAGGATCCAATAAAAATCGGACAAGTTATGAGCCACAATCATGCTAATCTACTCTATCTCTCAATTTCATTATATGTTAAATACTACAACAAACTCCATCCACCAGGAATATTGACCGGCTAGACTTAGATTGAGAATCAATAGCAACCAAGTCCAGAACATAGTCAAAATGCTGATTTTCGTGATTACCATAGGCGATTATCAACTCCAAATCAGGAAAAAGGACCATCTTGAAAGACCAATATGTATAATAGACTCAAGTTTAATGTGAACCTATACATTAAATTCAACGCAACCTCTTCATCATCAGATCAAGTATACAAAACAACAAATAGAAGTTCAGTATCAATGCATACAAACCTATTTACATCGTTACTATCGCCTCGGAAATCATCAAACTTTCAAGCTATCAACTTTACAGTATAAAAGTTTCCCATATATCAGATCCACAGACCATAAAACAAAATGAACTTAACAGAAAATAATCAATACCCAGAAAGGGAAAAAATAAACTAACCTGAGAAAACTCTAAGAAAATTCAGAGTCCGAGTGCATCTCTGCTTTACCCTTTCTTTAAAGTTCCAAACAAAAAAAATAAAGCAGATGATAGTCTGATTAGAACAGAAAAAAAACCCAAAGTGGAACAGTCTCCAACAACCTTACTAAAGACTCAGAGAGATGGAAAAGTGTAAATGGAGTAAAATTTGACAAGAAGAACAAGACAAAGTGCGGAGAAGTTGGGTAGTTGACGTCTGGTTTGTTTGAAATAAGATCTAAAGAAGGTTTCTTCGAAGAAGATGACTGCGACTTTTGAACAAAGATTTGTTTTCCCTTTTTCCTTTTTTTTTTCCTCTCTATTTTCCTCTCGATCAGTTCTATCTATGTTTTAGAAATCTCTTATTCTTTTGTTCATATCCCTTTAGTGCCGAGTTTCGGGAAATGGACTTGAAATGCGAAATGGTCCGTCATTTGTCTCTGTGTCTTTGCTTCCACAGCATTCAGATCATATGTTATAGATTCTTTAATGATGCAATGTTTATAAATCCTAGGTTTTACTTTCTCCTGATTAGGTTATATTGTTTATGTAATCCTAGGTTTTACTTTCCCCTGATTAGGTTATTTGTTATTTTTAATTGTCTCAAATTAAATATATTGTATGTTACAATCATTGATTGTTAAATGAATTGAAAAATTTTCGGATAAATATTATCTCATAATCATCTTTAGATTAATAATAATAATTATTATTTATTATTAAAATTAATTTTTATATTCGTCAAATACAAATAAAAAGATATAATATTTAATTTTAAAATTAAATAAAAAATATATAATTATAATTTAACACATGCTAATAGAAAAGATATTTTCTCAAATAATTTTTATAAATGTAGTTTTAAGTGTATATAAAATTTAAACATAAATAATAAAACACCTGTTAACGAGTGTTGATACAAGTGGTTCGTATTCATGAATTTGAGTTTATAAGGCCAAGTTCGAATCGTATCACCGTCACTTTTGGAGGACAAATTGTAAATTCATATGTAAATCACAATTGGGTCTTAAATATGCCCCGACCCTTTACTAGAGAAATCACACTGACCTAAACTTTTTTATACCAAAAGAAATAAATAAACAATAAAACATTTTATTTGAACGCTATATGTAAAAGTATTTTTATAATTAATAACATATCAAATAATTGGGGGTGGAGCCAGGATCCCAACTTAAAGGGCATAAAATATAATTAATCATAGAAAATTAGGGGACAAAGTATAATTAACCATAGGAAATGAGGTGATAAAATCAAAATAAATTGAAATTTGGAGTCCTAATTTCATATTTCCCATATATTTTTTAATAATAAAAATTTTTGGGGCTTAGTCCCTGCCAACCATAATTTAGTATAACATTTTTTTGGACAAATTTTATATAATCTTAATCCTACTTAAAAAGGAGAGAGAATGACCCTAGAAAAAATGAGAATTTATAGTTTTAAAACTGATGACTTAAGGGAATATAAGCGAATAATATGACTAGTTTAATCAATTGATTAAATATACATACACAAATTAAAATCTTTTGAATAAATAATACTTTATAATCACCTTTAGATTAATAATAAATGTTATTTCTTTTTTATTAAAATTATTTTTTATATTCGTCAAACATAATAAAAAGATATAATATTGAATTTTAAAATTAAATAAATAAATATAATATGATTATGCTTTAACACACTAATAGAAAAGATAATTTCACTTAGTGTATTTATAAAATTCAAAAAAAATAAAAATTTTATTTGAATGCTATATGTAAAAGTATTTTTATCATTAATAACATAAAGATAATAATTTAATATAATTTTTTTGGATAAATTTTAAATATAATATTAATCCTATTTAAGGAGGAGAAGAAATGAATCTAGAGAAAAAACTGAAAATATTAATAGTATGTTTAGAACTGATGACTTAAAACAATGTAAGAGAATAAACAGAACTAGTTTGATCAACCGATTAAATCCATTTTCACAACTTAATAACATCTTATAATTGATTTATAATTATTAACAAAATATTGATTAAATGATAAATAATTCGAGTTGAAATAAGATATAACAAAGCACCACATGGCACTCCACACCCTAAACCACTCCATAATATGCCATTTGTACTTTGGTTTACCAAATTTTAGCACCAAACCACTGGCTTTATTACCACACCATCTCAACCCTTAATTTAATTATTTTTTAATAAGTTATTCCATAAATTTAAGTTCTTAACATATATTCTTTTATTTATATTTTTACTTGTAATGTGGCGTTATAAGCAATCAATACTTGCGAAAAAATAATAATTAAATAATAATATTTGATATATAGATTATATGAATTTTATATTATACAAGTATGTGTACTTTAATATTATATGTCATGTAAGAATTAGTGTTTATAATTTATAGTTTTAGTCTAAAGCTTAGGGTTTTAAGGTTGTAGTTTCAAATTTTATATTGTAAAGTTTTTTAATAATCAGGTTGATTACACGGTGATATTTGTTCGTAATCTTTTTAAATTATTGACAACACATATTCTACATATACAATTATTTGAATCCAGTTCTTCTATAAAGAACAATACCTTTTTACTATTGAAGTCACTCAATAAATTCTTCAAAGAAAAAAATCACTCAATGAATTCAATTGTAAAATTCAAACAGACATGAGTATAAATTTTAGTTTAATTATGAGATTCAAGAAGGTTTCATCCCATGAGTTTTAATAAAAGCTCAACATATTTTGAAGATGATGTAATTTACTTAGAAAGCTTTGAAGAAATTTAAGTTTCAGAAGCTTTTGTAAGTGGTTTTATAAATTCATAACTTTACTTCTTTTAATCCTGTGTTTAATGTATAATTTATTTATGTCCATGCTAAATTAATTAGCTAAATAGATCAGTATAACTTCTTTTGTGGCTTTTCATCAAGGTAGTATACCTCTAAATCTGAAATGCTATTATTAAATATAATCAAGGATGGATCGAGACGTGTTAGGAGTGCGATCGCACCCTTAGATTTTTCAAATTTCCTTATATTTTAGATTTTTGTATTTTTATTAATTATCTATTTTTGCATTCGTCCCTAAATATGATGTTTGTACGTTAATAGGTATTAAGTATTTTAGAAGTCAAATAGTTGAAAGTGTTTTAAAGTAAATACCAACACTTAAACACACTAGATTAGTAAAAAAATCGACTATTTTTCGAGATTAACCTTGTATTTCATGAGTTCCCGGGTTTGATACTACAAAAAATAGTCTTTAAAATTTTTAAAAAAAATTCTAAAAATAGTATTTATATTCATTCTTGAGATATTTTCCAATATCCATACTCCTAGGATTTTAATTAAAACGTAATAAGTTGGGAAACTTGGGAATTGCTATGTTGGCCATATTGATTGCTTAACAACAAAACCTAAAACAGAATCCTGTAAAGGATACACGATAAATCTCCATCGTTATACATTGGACGAATAAACAGAAAAACCAATTAATTCCCTTCATTATAACAATACACCAAATGCTGATCACTTCCTTCTCTAAAGCATGCATCCAAAAGGCAACAACAGCAGAGGGCTGCTAAGCTGCAGGAGAAACAATTTTCATGCGAATTACGGATCTCCAACAAATAATAAATGACTTCTTCATGAAACTAATCGATGTTGTAAATTATCAGGCTGGTTAAAATGTTAGAGACTTCCAAGCATGCATAAAAATGATCTTGTCAATACATGATGAAGGAAGAAGAGTTTCCCATCGACTAAACAAAGGATTTGTTTTCATCATAGACAAACTCATATAATCAAAAAGAGAGAGAGAAGTTTTACCATCTTTCAAGGAAGCCGGTTTCCTTCTGCTGCTGTCTTGGCGGAGCTGCGCCGTACTGTGGTGGTGGATAGGGGTAAGGTTCAACCGGATACCCTGGTGCCGGCGGTGGATATGCATATTTTGGAGGATACCCTGCAAAAACCCATATTAAATCATTAACAAAAAGAATCCCAGCAAATCAAAATCAAATGTCAAAGACAAATACCTTGAGGAGGAGGAGCACCAACAACAGTAGGCTGCTGCTGATTGTAATGACATCTTTTTACTTTCTTACCCTTAAAAAGCCTTTTGTTTCTCAAACAGATTTCTAGGGGTTGAAGAAGAAGAATACTTTGATCAAAACAAGAAAAACTCGGAGCTTCCTGAGAATCAGAGGGTGGATATATAGGTAAGAAAACAAGCCGGTTAAAACAGGGTAAATGCAAAGGAATGTTGGAAGAAATTTCATTGGGTGCTAAACCGACACTGCACTCTTCAAATTCCCAGATTTTAAAGAAAAACCACCGCGTAAAGTGGAGGGAATTGGAATGTAATAAAAGTTTAACGTGTGGTTGAAGGTATAGATTCCAGTTTCACCTACAAAGTTGTTTTATTTCATATTCTTTTGCAGTACAGCAGAGCAGAGTGCCTTTCCATTCAGTTAATCAAAATGCATTATTGATTACTGCCGAATAATATGCATTTCACATCAGCAGACATCCATTAAGTCCATTTTACACACTGCATTGTTTGATGTGAAAATGTACCTTTTTCAACTGTATATTTTGTTTTATTTGTTATTATCGCCGAAACAGAATAGAAATGTAGATAATGACAAGTATAGATACGGAAAACCAGACACGTTTAAATTCTAAAGCTGTAAACATCAAAATATACAAGTCCAGGGAATAATAAAGGTAAAAAGGCTTCCCTATCTCTAATGAATTCATTGACAACATTGGCACCATTGTCGGTCATCCCAAAACCTAGTCAATCAAACCACAAAATGGCGAATGTTAGTTTCTCAGTTTTCCGCCATCTTTCAACTGCAATGCCTTCAATCTACAAACAGCAATTAATTACTTTTCTACGACCAAAGAAACCAACGACGAGGTCTCGCAGAAGCACTGCCCGAACTTCTTCTGGGTGTCACAGTGATCCTCTCGGCATTGGCAGCTGCCCATTTACTGAAATCGGGCGAAGAAACAAGTTCTTCGACAGCCCTTTTTGTGGAGTCTCTGGTGAACTTCTCCCACTCACTTCTAGAAATTTTTCTCCTCTCTGGAGTGTGGTGAATGATGGATGGGAAAGAGTCCTTATCCGACAGCCGACTCGAAGATGTCTTGGTAGTACCTGAAGGAGTGGACATGAAAAACACTTGTTTTCTTAAGTGGTCAACCCACAAAACACAACTTTTTAGGTTATACATATAAAAGGATCAAAATTATCAAGCAAACCTTGTAGAGAAGTATTGCATGAAGCCAGGTGAAACTGGTTAGACCGTTGCTTAAGGAAATTAGAGTATTCAGGGCTCTCGTACTTATATTCATCATGAGAAAATTGATTAGGTGATAAATCATGAATTTGAGTGTTTCTTCCAATGGCTTTGGCTAGCTTGAACAACTTCCTGCAGAAATAATCCGCATAATGTTATGCACTGAGATCTAACAGCAACAAAAAAGGAACAAAACAGAGGATGAAACCCAAGCAGAAACTTCTTCTGATGGAATGACAGAGCTGGCCCTGTTAACACAAGAAAAGAAAAACATACTTGCACACGACGCAGGAATTTCAACCGAGTGACTTTACGCAATATGGATGAGAGAATAATCCAGATAAAAATGCCTCTGCAGCAAGGAGGGGATCCATAGAACTCTGCAAACATAAGAATAAATTACAAGTATAACAAATAATGGAACTATAATTAACCGCTGGTTGGGGATACTTCCATTGAATTCGAGAAAAGTATAGAGATACGATAAGAGGAACAACCTGAAGCATCATGATAGCAGCCACTATTCGGATGGAACAAGCAACAAAGTAAGCTGTGCTTATGTCAATTGATCCATCCTCCGTCAGGACAAGTTTGCGTACAACCCAGAAACCCAACCAAGCTCCAGCCAGAACAAGAAAGCCCAGAAGAAATATAGCCAACTGAAATGTGAACATAAAAGGCAGTTTAGTGTATTATCAGGAAATATTTGCAAAGATTATCACCAGATATCACATCCGATGATACAAGTTCAAATCACTGAAGCATAAATACTACATGTCAGACACGTAAAATATAGCTCCAACTAATTATAATTTATAAGTTAAAGTGAAGCATAATAACGATAATGTCAAAACATTGAACCACAGAAGAATAAACATGAACTCTAGTCTAAAGATGAAATCAGAAAACTGCAAAAATAAAGTTACAAATCTGAGGCATTTTGCAAATCAAGAATTAGTTCTGATTTTTTGTTGTTGCAATTTTTGGAGTTAAAAATAACACATGGATTGTCTTGCTACTTTTGATTTACAATTTCATTTCACATAACAATAACATATGAATTCAATTTGACAGCTCAAAACAATAGATCTGTTAAGTCAGCTACCAAGTTCCATCATTCATGGTTCACTTGTTTACCGAATCAAATTTACATTGTCTCATCCAACATGAACAAAGTGTTTGATAACAATAATAATAATAGCTGAGTACTATGCTCTGCACTGCATCATAGAGACAAATGGAGCAAGTTAACAACAATATTTTAGAAAACTTACATACAGGATTATACATGTCTTCAGTGATTCCCAATTCTAAAAGTACAGACTGCAGCAATCGTGGTATATAGCGGAGAAGAAAAGATCCCAAACCAAGCTAAACAATGAGAAAAACCATATGTGAGAAGAGAACACAGGCATAAACATCAATGTAAGCGTATGGAAATACCCACCATAGATGAATATATAACAATAGCCAGTGAGTTCTTCCGACCAGTTGGGAGAAGCTTCATTCCCTATCAAACATAAAATATAATCATATCAGATATTGATAGCCCAACACAACAGCGAGTGCAAATTGAGGAACTTTCAGGTATTCATCAACCAAATTATTTACCTGAAACAGTACTACCAATACCACAAGGATGACCCCAATCGCCATGGCGCTGCTGTAGTAAAATACTAAAGACTTGCTTAGGGTATATGCCACACTCCACAACCAAGGCCGTTAAGAAAAGACAATACGATATGGGAAAATTCTGCCAAAAAAACAAGGAAAAAAGAAAGAAAAGAAAAGATAAACAAAGGAACAGCGTAGATAAACAAGTTCCAATTGTCAATACATAAAGCAACAAGGGTAGAAGGATCACAAACTTACTTCCTTCTATAGACACCTCAAGGGTTTGTGTTAATGAAGTAGTCATCCTTATATCTAAGAGCTTGTGATCGAAAGGAGACATTGGTTTAGCCCATAAACCGTTTGAAACCTTCTCCCACTTGCCTTGAGGGCACATCCCTATCCCAAGTGAAGCATTCCTACAAAACTAAGATATCAGTCTTAAGCCAAAATTGCTTTACAATTGGAAATAAAGTTTTTGTTAGTATTCACTATTCAACCAAAAGAAAGCCTTTTTTTAATGAGTTTATTGCTGAATTCATCCAAGTAATTGTGAAGCCGCTTACCTATGGAAGCAAATTTCAACACTAGGTCTGCGTAGGGTGGAATTCCCTTGTGAAACCTTCACTTCGACTGAATGGGCAAATTTCCTGAGATTCCCAACCTAGACAAGCCATCAATGTAATTCTTCACAAACAACTTTAGTTCCAGGCTTTAAACCAGGGGACTTTTCCACTTGTAAGCCAGGAGTTAACTGCAATGTCTTATTAAACTCCCCAACAGCTGCAAAAATAAACGAACAAAAAAATATCAAAATTTAAGATTTTTCCGCTATTAAGACATTATTACGAGCAATTGCAATAAAATATGAAAATCATAGAACCCAACTAGCTAAACTGACAAGAAATTTAAACTTATTATTCTTTATTCCTTTAATTTGACAATTTAACCACTAAAAGGTAAAAGAAACCCTAATCCATAGAATTTAAAGCGTTAACATAAAATACAAAAAAGAAGAAAAAGAAGAGAGAGAGAGCACCCAAAGAAGTCTTTCCGGCAGATGCAAGGGTGGAAAACTTGGAACAACGACGAAGATAAGGTAGAAAAGCAAAGCGGAGCTTCGGTCCCGTTTCCCGATACCCATTGTGAGCCGGGAGTTGAGAGATTGAGGAAAGCATAGGCACAGATTTGTAAAAAACCCATTGCTGGCGGTAGAAGATCAACCCGTCTTCTAATGGCGGTTAAAAATTGGGCTTAAGCTGGACTCACCATCAACCCATATACGCCCAATCTTCAACGACAAAACGAAAAGGGTAAATTAAATTAGACCTAACAAATAAAATGATGGCATTATATTAACAAATTACCTCCTAAATTATATCAACAAATATGGGTGTTTTTAGTAGGCTTATTAACAAATTACCTCCTAAATTATAATTTCTTTTTAATTTTTACTTAAAGTTTCTTAGAAATTAGAATTTCAACAACATTAATGAGGCATGTTTAATAATTAAGCAATACTTGATAACACAAGTTTCAATTAGTTGAAATTCTAATAATCTTAATATCATTATTTGTTGCCTAAATATTGAAAAGTTTTTCTTTAGTTATAGATAACTCATACACCTTATAATGTAGATATTCAAATTTAGATCTTTTAAAAATAATATTTTATTCTATGATTAAAATAATTTAATAGATTCACATTAATAACTTTTAGATTATTCTTTTGCTGGTTATTTTGATTTTAAAACTAAACAAGTGGATTTTTATTGCAACTGAGTATTTTGGTTTTCATATTTAAAAAATGGAAATGAATATTGTTTAGAGTTTAGAGCGAGATATTCTTTGATTGTGAAAAATCAATAAATAATTTTTAGGGTAAATTACACATTTAATATCTAAAGTATTAGTTTTGGTAATTTTAACACATACACTTTCAATTTTTCAAAACATACCTAAAGTTAAATTTTTGTTTCAATTTTTCAAAATCATACCTAAAGTTTAGTGTTTGTTTCATTTTAGTACTTCGTTCAAAATTTAACGCTAAATTTAAAAAATTGAAAGTTTAAGTGCTAAAACAACCAAAACTGATAGTTTGGGTATTAAACGCATTAAGTTTTTAACGGTAGGATACTAAAATGAAACAAAAGCTAAATGTTACGTATGGTTTTAAAAAAAATTAAAAGTTTAGGTACTAAAATATCCAAAATTGATAGTGAGGTGTTAAATGCGTAGTTTACCCTAACTTTTAAACGCATTAATAACTGCCCATTAAAATTCACATATTATTTTTTAAATAGTCTAAGATGATTATACGATAATATCTATTTAAATTATTCTCAATCATTGACAATGCATACACCCGCAGACGCAACTATTGAACTCAAGACTAGGGATGGACATCAGTCAGGTTGGGTAGGATTTTCGGTCAACCCGACCCGACTCATAATTATACCTGAACTCAACCTGAAAAATATACATCCTCCACCATACCTACATTTTTGAGATAAATCTCGAACTCGATCTAAACC